CCCCCCCCCCCCCACACACACACTTATTTTCAGGCGGATAGATTTCATGTCTGAGCATTCTCACATGACGGTGGGTCTTTCCCCCCACCTAAAAACAGTTAAAAAAAGAAAAAACAATATATCCTCATGCAAGAACTTTTCTGCTCCCGATTACGCCCATGCTTACAAGTTGCAAAGGAAACACGGATGCAGGGAAGCGGCTGCCCAGCTCCGGAGCTCCACACCATTTTTTTTTCAGAGGGAATCTCACTCGAGTATAAGCAGAGGGGTTTTTTTTCAGCACAAAAAATGTGCTGAAAAACTCGGCTTATACTCGAGTATATATAAACTTGGCTTCCAGTTGCTTTTTACAGATTCCAAAACCGAGAATAAAAATTGAACTAAAAGAGGTTGAACTACAGTAGAAGACCTCCAAAGTCCTTCCCACTGTGTTATTCTGTTCTGTTCTGAACAAAAGGAATCTTTCTAAATTTGGAAAACATTCTTTAAAAAAACCAATACTTCACATGAAATACAAACATATTGCACCACGTATTTCTACTTAATCTTCTCTTTCAAAGCCCATTAATACACTGTTTAGTTGTAGGATAGCTCATACTTTTCTAATAACATTCTTGGCCTTGTAAACCAAAATTACGTAGAATTTTCTTTTTCTTTTTGACTATGAGATTTATTGATATAAATTTGAAGTAGCTACTCTTGGAAGGAAGGATTTATATATGGAAAAATTATTTAATTATTAAGTAAATTGAGTTCCGGTTTCCAATGGGGAAAATAGCCAATTCTAGTGTCCATAAATTTAGACTGTGTCACAACTGTGATCTTGAGGGAAGACTCTTGTCTCTCAACTCATCAACCAAACAGAAAACCTCAATTTCCATTACTTGTTCATGGGGAATAAGAAACTGGAGCGCAAATGGATTGATTAATTTCTGGATGAAGAAACCCCCTCCAGAAACCTTTCATTTATGAGCCTCTGAAGTGCTTAAAATTTGAAACTCTTTATTGAAACAAGATGTTATTACTGAAGTTGAACAAATTATCTGGAAGCAACTGAATTGGATACACTGCATTTACAAATGTAACTGAATAATCTTTTAAAAACTTAAAAATGCTGTGAATTGTTATGTTAAAATGAAATAGAAGAAATTTATTGGGGTTACTTCATGGAAACTACAAAGAGATACTAGAAGATATTAGAAGAAATCAGCAGTCAGAAATGTATTTATAGGACTTAAGAATGGTTGGCAGGAAGACAAACAAAAATATAGAACTACTATATCTGAATATGATTAAATAAGGAGTTCTTATATTTGGTGGACTGGAACAATTGTTCATTTTGGAAATGTTTAATGGCTTAATGGATTAGCTTTTGATATCTAAATGTTGCTGTTTTAACCATTCAGTCCTTCCAACTCCTGGCAACATTATAGGAAAGTGCTTTCCATGCTACCCTATCAAGAACAGCTTATTCAGTTGTACGATGTTCATCTTTGTATCAGTTTTGATGTTATCAAATCAGCAAGTTGCTTGCTTCTTCTTGTTTTACTAGTCACTCCAAAATAGAGGGTGATTATTTCTGGTAATGTTTAATATTTTTATATTTTACAAAAGTTTAATTGTTAAGAGAGGGATGAGGGGAACAAAATGAAAAAGGTACTCTATTTTTATATTATTGGGTATTTTGGTTAATTTTTACTGGATCTTTATACTGGATGTTCATAGTAAAGATTTAGAGAAGAGTTTATAAAAAAAGGATATGTAGTATGGAATGAAGAACTATCTGTTATATTTTAAGAGACAGTAATGAGTTAATAGAGCCACCTTTGGGCTTTTTGCAAGAAACAAAGGGAAATGTAATTTTGATTTTGGGTTTTGATAATAGGAATTAATGGAATTATGAAAACAATATAGACTATTGCCAAATTTAGAGTAAGAGTTGGAGGTACTTTTTAATCTATATCTATACCAAAGAAAGTCAGAAGTCATTTTTTCTTATTTTTTTTGTTTTCTTTTATTTTTGCACTTTTATCTTGCGTTTTGTTTGATTATTCTTTCTTTCTTTTTCTTGGTTCTTAACTTTTTATTCCTGTTTTTAAATTTGATAAAATTGTACTAGAAATAATTATTGTATATTACCTCAGAAGTATTACTAAATCTGCATCACAAGACAATTTTTCAAGTCCTTGTGTACCTTCTGTTCGAATATAATGAATCTTCTCCCTAGAGAATTAACATATACATAAACTGATATACTATTAAAGAAAAGTCCACGTGATACATTCCTTTTATTCTATATTGATCCATTTCTCTTCCAAAAGCTAATATAAAACAGTTGGTGCAGAAACGTAAGTTGGTTTCTCTAATAAAGCCCTGCTAATGTTTGTATTCAAATCAACTTACAATGCAGTAAGGTCTGGTGAAATATTCTTTGAAATTAACAATGTTCAGAAATGTGCAGTCCAGGTCGTATGAGAAAAGGAAAAGTTGTAAAGAAAGTAGAGTGGACAGTCTTTTGGCAAACAAAATTATAATTGAAGAATTGATTAAAAAAGGCTTAAAACATTATTTGAAATATTATTATATTATTACTGAAATTAGTTTAAAACAAAAGAGAACAAAATAAATAATTTGATAGTCATCATAAGAACGATCACTTAATGGAAAAGTGTATGTTAAAAACAATTAACTTATTAACATGGCTCATCTAAATCTTATAAATGTTTGTCTTCTGGAGCCAAACTGAATTCTTTGGAAGTAAATATCTTTTTGTCTAGACCTATAAATTAAATCAGACTAGTCAGTGATCCCAGCATGCATAAACAAACAAATAAATAAAACAGCAAGGAGGAAAAATAAAGCAAAAGAAAGAAGACAAGTGTGATTGAAATTTGCGACCTTCACTATGGCTTCCCTTAATCTATAAATGGGGAAGCCAGAAGGAAGTAAAAAATGGCAATCATATGACATCATGTCTAATAACCATGCAAGATTTGCTTAACAATAAACAACTGGAACTGCTGAAACTACTGTCATAAGTCAGAGCTGGATGTGATATCTTGCTTTATGTTGCTTTTATGCATCTCTTGAGTGCTCAGTAACAATTATCATTATTAACCAAGGACTACATGTATATTAATAATCAACACACAATGGAATAGTACAGATGACCTGATATACTGAGCTCTACCTATCATGCCTAACTATGAAATTAATCGATCTTTTGATCTTGCCTCCTTTTTAAAGATTGTAACAATTTACGGTGGATTTATATATATGGGCATTTGTCAAGCATCAAATGTTGCCAAAATATGCCCTTCTGGATGGCATTTTAGCTTGATATTTTACAAATTATTATTGTGATCCAAATATCACTCAGCTAAGGCTGAATGGGTGTCCATACAAATTTTCTTAAATGAATAAATTGACAAGTCATATGTGGAATGTTTCAAATCCAAAGCTGAAAATGTAGTTCAGGGAGAGCATGGCTCTGCATATCACACTATTAGTGTTTCTTTGGAGAAGCAGCATCTTTTCCTGAGTTATATCAATAGCTGCGCAATCCCAGGAAAATACATGTTTGGATTAAAAAGGAATTTGCAGCATGCAACAAGGTATTTCAGAGTGGATGTAGGCATACTGTGGACATCTATTGGTACAATCCTTGAAGAGACAGAGCCTTTTCAAGAAGTTGCCAACAGATGTGGCAAGCACACCCATATTTAGTCCAAAGCATCTTTTCAGCTTCTGATTCAAAGCACTGTACATTCTAAATTATATTTATGCACTATGGTCAAGAAATTTCTTAATCTAGTTATATGTGATATTTATACTGCTGATATAAGCTCTTTATTATATATTTACAATATAAACTAAAACCACATTACAGTATACTTTTCAGTATCTAATATTCTGTTGTTCAGTCTCTAAGTTGTTCCTGACTTTTTACAACCCCATATGGTCCCCACTCTCCTTCATTGGAGGAATGTCCCCAAATTCATGTTCATTGGATTGATGATACTACCTAACTAGTTCTGCTTTCTCTTTTATTCTACTACTATTTTAAAGGAGTAAAGAATTAGTATTATTAATCAACAGTGTTCTCACTATAGATGCTTTATAACTAGTCCTCAACTTACAACCACAATTGGGTCTGGAATTTCCATCATATGCCTGTGCAGTCATAAAGCCAGTGATCACATGACCAGATGATTTTTCTACAATTTTTATCATGGTCAGAAAAGCAAATCACTGCATTTGTTAAATGAATTACAGGTAGTTCTCAACTTACACCGTTTGTTTAATGACCATTCAAAGTTACAATGGCACTGAATAAAGTGAATTATGACCATTTTTTACACTTATGACAATTGTAGCATCTTCATGGTCACATGATCAAAATTTGGAAGCTTACCAACTGGTTCATATTTATGAAAATTGCAGTTTCCTAGGAGAATATAATCACATTTTTATGACCTTCTGACAAGTCAATGGGTAAGCCAGATTCAGTTAACAGATTCATGTTACTAACTTAACAACAGTAATGATTCACTTAATTATGGTAAGAAAGATTGTAAAAGGGGACACTTAACTCACTTAACAAATGTCTCACTTAGCAACATAAATTTTGGGCTCCATTGTGGTCGTAATTTGAGGACAACTTTTATGCAGACTAAATTTCTGGTTCTGGTGACCAATACAGATTGTCTAGCTATACATTAGGTTTCAATAACTTCAATATTCTAACTGAAACTTAAGCAAATTAATCTGGAATCTTATGAGCACAAAGCACAAGTAAATTCTCATTGTCCATAGCAGGGGTGTCAACGGGGGTGGGATTCAATTTCTTTTAACAACCAGTTCTGTGGGCATGGCTTGATGGGCATGGTTTGGTGGGCATGGCTAGGTGGTCATATGACTGGGTGGGTCAAAAGAGAGAAGCTCACTTTAACAATGCTCTTGGAACAGGGGGTTGTTGGACTAGATGACCTCCAAGGTCCCTTCCAGCCCTGTATTGCTGTGCTGTTTCAAAGCATCCTCTGAAGCTGCGTCTAGTGCCAGGGTTTGTGGTCCTTCCTTCCTCTCCTTTTTCTTTCCCTCCCTCCCTCTATCCATCCATTCATATCTCATTCGCTTTCTCTTCCCTTCCTTCTTTCTCTCTTTGCTCCCTTTCTTTCTTTCTCCCTTCCCTTTCCCTCTTTCTTTCTCCCCTCCCTCTTTCCTTCTCTTTCGCCCTCCCTTCCCTTTCTCCCTTCCCTGACTCTCTCCCTCTTTCCTTCTTTCTTTCCTCCCTCTTTTTCCTTCCTTCCTTCCTTCCTTCCTTCCTTCCTTCCTTCCTTCCCTTTCTTTCTTTCTCCCTTCCCTCTTTCTTTCTTTCTTTCTTTCTTTCTCACCACCCACGCCCTGTTTTGGGTCTAGAAAGCCTCCCTAGAACTTCCTGTGAGGCAAATCAGGTGTGTGTGGGAACACATCGCTCCCCTGCACCCTGGTTTGGGCCTAGGAGGCCTCACTGCACTTACCTGGGAGCCAGAACCAGGAGAGTAGGGAGTCCTGGGAGGGGTGGGGTAAGGTGGGGCAGGGCTAGCTGGACTTCGGAACTACCGGTTCGCTGAACTGGATATAAAATTAACAGCTGGTTCACCCGAACCAGCACAAATTGGCTGAATCCCACCCCTGGGTGTCAAACTCATATCATCACGGTGGCATAACATGACATATCAGGACTTTTTTTCCCTTTGCTAAACTGGGTGTGGGCATGACCAGCACGACGCATCTGGCCTGCGGGCTGGGAGTTTGGCAGCCCTGGTTTATAGTAATCAACAAACTCCATGTTACTCACACTTTGGGGCTTTCCTATCTTAGCTTTATCAGAGTATTCAGTAATTAAGCTATAGACTTTTGTACCTGAGTGCATGGTTCCTAGCCAAACTTGGCTGACGCTCCTGCAGCATTTCGAAAATATTAGGTTGGCGTAGAAATGCGACGATTTTGTCATTGTATGCTGAAAAAGTACAAAAACATCCCAGTTTGAAATCATTCTTCTGTTTTATTGTTTTTGTCTTAAATTTTGTTTTAAAAGTATTAAACTATAAATAACTCTAGAAAAATAATGTTTTGTCTATGTTGAATAATTTAACAAGAAAGAAACAAATAAATCTAACAAATAAAAAATAACATGGAAGATTAGGGCTAAATAAAGCATTGTTTTGAATAAAAAAAGTATCCATATCTGAACCTTCAAAAGTGCTTGCATCTTTTCCAAGTGATGCTCCAAAAGCTATTCAGCTCTTTCCATATGCAAATGCTTTAATGGTTTGAATAAAATGGCACTTCATTTATGTTGTCATGAACTGCAGAGCATCTCATTGAAATATTTTGCAAAGCCATATGTCTATGGACATTTTCAATCATCAGGATTGTATTGTCCCAAAGATACTTTTTCCAAATGTTTCACTTCTCATCCAAGAACTGAATTGAACTGAAGAAGTTTCTTGAATGAGAAGCGAAATGTTATGAAAGGAAAAAATACCAAGACAGTCCAGTTGTCTTTTTGTAAAAGCACCTTTGCATATAACAGATATGCTGCTGACCAGAATTCATAGCATAATGATAGAGAAAAGCATAGCATACTCACTCAGTGTTTTTGGATAGGATTGCTCATGCTACCCATTTCATCCTGCTTGCTTACTTGTACTAATTGAACAGCAGGACAGAGAATGTCTGACCTTCATCTAGCCTATGGATCTTCTATCGAGGTTTTTCCCTTCCTACAACATCCTTTCTTTCACCTGCCCCTGGAGATGTAATAGACTTCTCAGAGCCAGAGTAAGAGAATTCTCATTTATAAAATATAACAGGAACAGAATTTCTGCACATTCCTCCACTATAATTGATGTGAACACTCCCACTGTTTCCAGACAAGTCCTCTCCCCCAAATTGTTTCAAAGAGAAAACTCCCCAGGCTTAAGTGGAGTGAACAAAGGATCAAAGAATCTTTGCCTGAATTAATTATTTATTACTTGATTACTGAAGTACACACACCCAACATCTTGGATTCTGAAACCTAATCTTTTTTTCCCTTTCAATACATATGGTTAAAAAGATCCTGAAAAGATGCAGTCTCTAGAGTCTTCAAGGAAAACCGGATGTGTGTACCTTAGCATTCCATTGTCAGTAAGTCTCCTCAGGCAGGGTCTGTTTGACCTTCTTGCAAAAGGGGGAAGGTTGCTGTTTGTTTCTCTAATATAGGAACAATATGCTGAAGTTCTAGGCTGTTAGTATTTTGCATCATTCTGTTTTCCAGATTGTGAGAAGTCTATTACAAGAGTCACATTGGAAGTACTGCAGTTGCTTCAGCTGTCCCACAACTTTTTTGAAATATTTTGGCTTATATTATGAAAAGATAGCCAGCGGGAATATAATAGATGTGTGGTCTACTAAGAAAAAAAAATTAGACTTGCTTTTGGGCCTATTCTTTAGCACATCCATGATTTGCTGTTCTGAAAAAAACAAACAAACTTCTTTAAATTCCACAAGGGTGTGACTAAGAAGCCCATCTGAAGTAACAATTTATTTCACATTTTTTCCTTTCCTTGCTGTTTTTATGTATGCTATATTTGTAGATGTGCTCTCTATGCTTTTATGGATTTAATAGTCTGTTTTTATATGTTATGAGCCTCATTGTGAAGTAAAAACCAGAAAGGTTGCTTATACATAATGGCATTAATACATGAATGCAATATATTTAGAGTGATTTATCAATAGCTAAATTAGATATTCAACAGCACCGGTAAACCTGATACTTATGTTATTTCTAAAGAGTTGTAGCCAAGAGGATGGGAAGGTTCAATTTCCAATGAAGCAGCAGTTTTATTGCTTGTTAATGAACTTTGCTGTGTATCTGTACCAGAGGGGATTGATAAACCTGTTGAAATAACTCATTAGTCTGTTAAATGAAGCCACATTTCTTAAATGAAAAAACAACAGCAAAAACTGCAGTGAGCCTTTTATTTTGGCTAAAAAAAATTAGTCAATATTATCTGAACACATTTGAAAAGCAGTGATACATACCAAGAGGCAAGGATTCATGATGGTGCTGATTTCGAATTGCTGCTACTAAGCTGTTGGCTGGTCTGGTCAACAAAGAAACCCCTCTGTTTCGAGAGACTTCTGATGCCTGAAATAAAGAATTCCTATTAATTATATTATGAATATTGAAAGAAAAAAGTCCAAAGCAGGGGTGGGCTTCAAAAAATTTAGCAACTGGTTCTCTGCCCGGTTACTGGGTGGGCACGGCCATGGTGGGCACGGCCTAGTTGGCCTCCTGAACCACCCTGGCCTGGGAGCGAAAATGGGCTGCGGGGAGGGGCATTTTATTTTTATTTATTTTATTTGTTTTTTTGTCAAGCATGTATGAGAAAACAAGTATAAGTATGAACATAACACGTAAACATGTAAGTATAAACAGGTATAAGTATATACATAGTAAATGAGTACGAATAAACGGATAAATGGGAACAATAGGACAGGGATGGTAGGCACGCTGGTATGCTTATGCATGCCGTCTTACAGACCTCTTAGGAATGGAGTGAGGTCGATGGTAGACAGTTTAAGGTTAAAGTTTTGGGGGTTTGAGGATGTAACAACAGAGTTAGGTAATGAGTTCCAGGCATTGGCCACTCTGTTGCTGAAATCGTATTTTCTGCAATCAAGTTTGAGTTTGTATCTTTTGCCCCTGTATTATTGCAGTTGAAGTTGAAGTCATCATTGACAGGTAGAACATTGTAGCAGATAATTTTGTGTACTGAGCTTAGATCAGACTGTGGCGGAGTAGTTCTAGGTTGTCTAGGTCCAAAATTTTGAGCCTGGTAGCATGAGATATTTTATTATGGGCAAAGTAGTGGAGTACTCTTCTCATGAAACACCTTTTGACTTGCTCAACTGTATTAATGTCCAGTATACACTATGGATTCCAGGCAGATGAGCTGTATTTGAGAATTGGTCTGGCGAAGGTTTTGTATGATGTGGTTTGCAGTACAGGGTTACCGGAGAAGAAACTTCACAAAATTAGGTTAAAACTCTTAATGCCTTTTTGGCAATGCTGTTACAGTGAGCTCTGGGGCTTAGATCTTTTGAAATGAGTACTCCTAGCTCCTTGACAGAGTGAGGATCATCTACGAGGCTGTATCCTCCCAGTTTGTATTTAGTGTTCTGATTTTTGTTGCCAATGTGAAAGACAGCATTTGTTGGTTGAGATTTGAAGTTGCCAATTGTTTGACCATTCTGACACATAGGGGTGGTATGGTTTTCGAGTCTTTAAGTTTGGTATTTACAAAACTATGGAATGCACTGGTGGATTTTGTATGTAACAGTTTTTCCTCTTGTTTGCAGTAGTAATTGGTGAATTCTGCCTTTGTCTGACGGCATCGTGTTTTATAGCAGCTTTTAAAGTTAGCTAAAGTTTTGTTTTTTCGCCAAAGAGATTTTTTTTGGATTGGAACTTCCTTATTGTTATTGGTAATTTATTTTTTCTGGCTATGGGGGTTACTATTTTACATATAGTTTAATGACTCTATTGGCTTTGAGCAAAAAAGTATTGTAACAGGCTTCTGCAATTATACAACCTGGGAACAGAAGGTGCCAGAGATGCAAGGTCAGCAGCTATGAGATCATAGTTGGCTTTTCTCAAGCCTCCAGAAGGCTGAAAATGGTCTCCCTGGGCTCTGGAAGCTCTCGGGAGGCTGGAAATGGGCCCATTTTTGGCCTTTCAGAACTTCCAGGAGGCCTGTTTTTCTCCCTCCTTGGGATTGAGCCTACAGGAGGGTGAAAATGGCCTCCCCGGGCTCCAGAGGCTCTCTGGAGGCTCTCTTCTGGAATTTCTGGGAGGCCCATTTTTCGCCCTCCCTGGGGTCTGGAGGTGTTCCTCGAGCCTCCAGGAGGAGCAAAAAAGCTCCCCAGGCTCTGGAGGTTCTCTGGAGGCCAAAAATGGACTAGTTTCTGGCCTCCTGGAACTTCCAGGATGTTCGTTTTTTGCCCTCCTCAAGCCTCTGCATGGGCCCTGCACTTATATGAGATCCACAGGCCATGTGGGGACTCCTGGGAGGGGTGGGCTGGGGTGGACAGGGCCAGCCAAGGGTGGGATTTTTTTGGTCGCCAAACTGGCCATAAAATTAACCATTTGGGGAAGAAGGCGAAGCCTCCTTGCTGACGGACTGTAGATCGCGACTCTTTGCGGCTATCGTCCGTGCTCTTTTGTTGGAGAGCCCTGATTATTACAATTAGGGGCTGAAGCTGCCTTGGAGGGGTGGTGGAGTAAGGGGAAGCGGCAAGCCAGGTTGAGGGAAGCCGCATCTCCCCCCCTGGGCTTGGTCTTTTTCCCCCCGAAGACAACTGCAGTGGTGGTTTAAAATGGCCACCCTGAAGAGAAGGACTCAGCTGGATTAAGATTTGTGCAGGAGGGAAGAAAGAGGTAGATAACATCTGAACCGGGACAACTGGGCAATACAACTAAGCAAAAGTACCCTGGGATTAAGGTAACATGGAATTTTTAAGAAAAGAAAAGTGAGCAGTGAAATTAAAAAGGGACAGGAAAAAAAAAGAAAATATTTTTGACAGCTAAGCGGGGCTTCGAACCAGGAAAGGAAGAAGCTGGAATTAAGATTTAACTAAATTGGACTAAAATATTTTGGGAATAAACAGGCATAAAATAAAGCTAGACTTAAGATTGTCAAAAAATAATAATAATAAAGTTTACAAATTGGAGACTGGACTGTGCTGGAATATTGAGGTTTGAAAAACCCTAAATAAAAAAACAGGGGGGAAAGGTGAAGACTTTGTATAATGGGGAGTGCCACCTTTTGACAAAAACTTGAGCTCAAACAAAAGGGAAAGCATCCTGTTTCTGAATGAACTTGTGTGGATATAACATTAAAGAAATATTGAAACAATGTAAGAATCTTAGACAGTGAAAGCAGAACCAGAATAAAGAAAAAAGCAAGGAAAGACTGACTGTGGGGTTGATTGATGTTTTTGGTATAGACCCTGGGCTGGAATAATTGAGAACCTTAGAAAATTGAAAGAAGAAAGAAGGAAAGTAAAAGTGTTTTTTTTTTTGTGGACTTTAACGATCATAAAATATAAGAGTGTTTAATGATGGTATCTCTTTGGGAATTAAAAATGGAACTTAAAAATATGAAAGAATTACTACAGGAAAGAGGTGAATCACTTTGCTCTGTGTTAGGAAAAATGGAAATGGCGATTGAAGAACAAGAACAAAGAGCTTCAGAGGAGGAGGAGGTGATTCAAGAAGAAGACATTTTAAATAGACAATTAACACAAAGAAGTGGGTAAAGAAGGAAGGTTAAAAAGTTGAAATTTAAGAAGGCAATAAAAAGGGGGAATACCTGTGAAGTCAGGAAAGGCAGAAAGACCCAGCAGAAAAGGGGAAAGGGTCTTAGAAGGCCCTTTAGAAACAGCATTAAAATTGATAGAAAAGATAGAGACATATGGAAAGGTGGCTGGTTTGAAAATAAATAAAGATAAGACAAAGATCTTGACAAAGAATATGCTATTAAGACAAAAGGAAGAACTGGCAGACCTATTGAAAATTCAGGTCACGAATAAGATCAAGTACTTGGGGATATATTTGACAGCAAGATGTAGTACATTAAAAGAGAATAATTATATCAAACTTAAACAGCAGATAGCACTAGATCTGGCGAAATGGGAAAATTTACAACTGTCACTAATAGGGAGAATTTCAACAATCAAGATGAATATATTACCCAGAATTTTATATTTGTTTCAAACAATTCCAATTAGGCTTGGAAAAGACTACTTTGAAGATTTAAATAAAATTGTGTTGAAATATATATGGCAAGGTAAGAAAGCGAGAATAAAGTTAAAACTTTTGCAAGATGCTAGAATTAGAGGAGGATTTGGTTTGCCTAATTGGGAGTTGTATTATCAAGCTACAAATCTGATGTGGGTTAAGGAATGGATAACACTAAGAAATACTAGATTGTTGACATTAGAAGGACATGATTTGTTGTTGGGATGGCATGCTTTTTTATGGTATAGAGGAACTAAAACACAGGGTTATTTTAGAAGACATTATATACGGGAGTCTCTGTGGTTAAACTGGGAGAAGATTAAAAGACAATGTTATTTGAAAATTCCAGTCTGGCTATCGACTATTGAAGCATTTTCTTATCCTATAATATACAAAAAGGAACAAACAGTTAGATATGGTGAAATATTGAATGAAAAGGCTGAACTCAAATCTATACAAAAACTAGAGGAACAAGGTATAAAGATGAATTGGTTTTCATATGTGCAAATACATTCAAGGTATGATAAAGATTCTAAAATGGAAAGTTTCTATGATAAACTGATTTCAATAAGATTTTGACAGGTACTGATAAAAAGGTGATTAAAAAATTGTATGGATATTTATTAGAAATTAAATTAGAAGAAGAACAAGTTAAAGAAACTATGATTGCTTGGGGGAAGAATTTTGGATATGGGATTGATTTAGAGAAATGGCAAAAATTGTGGTCTCAAAATTATAAAATGACAATGTCAACAGCATATAAAGAAAATTTGTATAAGATGTTTTACAGGTGGCACTTTTCCCCGACAAGAATGTTCAAGAATAAATCCGAAAAATGTTGGAAATGTCATCAGATACCTGGCTCATATTACCATATGTGGTGGACTTGTGCGAATGCTAAAAAATACTGGACTAAAATCCACATGTGGTTGGAAAAAATGACAAAAAAACATATAAACTTGAAACCAGAGATATTTTTATTGGGAATTTTACCTGAAATATATAGTAAAGACTTGAAATATCTGATTGTAAATGTATTAACAGCGACTAGGATTGTATTTGCCAAAAACTGGAAAAATGAGAAAACAGCATCACAGGAGGAAATCATTAAGAAAATATTGAAATGTGCTGAAATGAGTAGATTGACATTTGAAATTAGAGAACAAGAGAATAAACAATTTTATAAAATTTGGGATCTATTCTATCAATGGTTAGACAATAAAATACAGTAATGAAATATGTAGACTTTTAGAAAATAATAAATATATAAAGATGTACTTTTTTCTTATTATATCTACAAAATAATTTTAGGATAGATTTGGGATGATAATATGAACTGTTATAAA